AAAAATGCCATACATGCGAGTCTGCCAGGTATGTCACTGAGTTTGACTTTCAGGGCTGTCGACCCATTGGCCACTCGGTACGACAATGATGGGCACACGGGAAGAATGCACGAGAAAACGGCTCTATCCCTCGTGGAAGCAAGCAGAGTGGTGGGTTGGAGCATGTTAGTAGAGTCATTTACTTGAACTGTTCCAAAGTCTATCTACGAGGACTCCCAGAAGGATGGAGGCATGCTTTTCGAGGTGACCCAGTGACCCCCAAAAGGAAGCTTCACATCACCTTTGAGATCTTTTTCATTTTCTCCAAGCTCCTAAGATTCTGTTTGCTATGAGGGTCTTCCAGTGCTAATACTTGGGTTATGACATTATGAATGTGATTCTGTTTCCAGCAACGTTGCTTATGGAAGTTGAAGATTGCACCACGCGACGGTGCAATATTAGATGTTCAAACATGTTCTGTGCTGATGCCTAGTCTCCCCTGGCGGTGGGTTTGAACATGTTTTGAACTGGTGTTCTTTCCCGCGTCGTTCACTCTGAAATCCAAGTTCTGTTGTTTCTCTCGTAAGGCGGAGGAGGCCAAGTGGTCGTTCCACCGGATGGGCCTTACCCGCCGCAATGCTACGCTGGAACACCGCATCTTGGCGCGACAAACGAGTAGACAGGCGCGAGTTCGAGTTCCCATGGTCGACCTAAATTACTGGCTTAAAAGTAAAGCATCAGGCAGTGTGAGTGACCCCCTGCTATAGATAGATACCCTAGTTCCAGCCACCCTCATTTCTTTCCGGCCACCCTCATTCCCTATAATAAGCACCAGTCAACATTTTTGGGGTCAATTGGTTCACCCACCCACAACCTTTGGTGCCACGAGTTTACCTTCGGGTATAGAATGCAGGTATGTGCAGATTTTGGAGTGGTACCTTCTGGCTACTTGGAATGGTTTAGTCACTTGAATTCATATTCTCCAAAGGTATAGCCATGCGGCCATGCCACTACGTCGACTACAAGCGAATGTTGCGGTGTCTCATGTGTCTCATGTGTCGCGGTGTCTCATGTGTCGCTTCCACCGGTATTTCTTCACCTGGACCCTCCAGTTACCAGGTCTACCGGGCACAGGTCGTCTACCTCCAGGTACCCCTCTTCGTCCGGCTCGGCATCCGGGCCCCCGTGCACCGAGGCTCCAAGTGGCCGGCTCCAAAGGTGATCAAGTGACCCTTGGCGACGGGAAACGGAGTGTTGCTCCGGTCCAGGCCCACCAGCAACATGGTAGGGTGATGGACCTTGGTCACTATCATAGGTGAAAGATACTTGAATCACATGTTGTTTCAAGTGCTTACCCCAAGTAGTGAAGACTGGCCAGTGAAGTGAGGTTGCAAGTGGGGATATGTTAGGTTATAAGTTATACCTCAGGAGGAAGACAGTTTGGTAACAACTTCACTCGAGAATGTCATTGGCATCACGTATTTTTCCCAATGGAATTCTGGCGGATTTATTTCGGGTTGGAAACTATTCCGCCGGCATTCCACTGTGATACCCGGTAGGATTCTAGTGGGAAAGGGTTGTAGTTGTAGGTTACGTACTCGCAAGCTTGTTGCCAACTTTTGTCCTGGCTGTGTAAGTCTTGCATACGGGCTATGTGAATTGTTCGACTTACTGTATCACTGTTTACATCACATAGTTTTTGGTAAATGTTGGATTTACCCACTGATTAGCGCACGTCGAAGCTTGCAGAGCAGAAGTGGTATAAATTAGTTATCCCACTTAGAGGGTACCGTTTTCCTACTAAGTATGAACCAGTACGTACTATAGTTCTATCATTGCTCACCCAAGATGAAAGAGTTTTGGTTTCGACTCTGGACAAGAATTCCAGCACCGCACCATGACACCCAGATGAGTGCATGGTGCATTTTTGTGCACTGCAGACAACTGTCCATGACCGTCGAGGTCTCTAAAACACTACCCAATGAAGGGCTTGCCTGCACGTGGACGCTGCACAGCAGCTGCAAGCCCTCTGAAGAGGGCTTGCCTGGTGGACACTGCTCTCACTACAGCAGCTTCGTTCATGCCGATAGAAGCAGAGGGTATTGCAGAGCCATGCCGATTGTGTGAAGGCCCGGGCAAACAAGCTGGTCGCCAGCAGGCAGGAGGAGTTCTCCAAGCGTTCTCTCGCTGAGTCCCCATTCACTGACGCTGAGTACGTGTTGCAAGGCCCACCAGACGGACGTGCTTCAGAAGTCAGAGTGAAGGGAGCCTCTGAAAGTGGACACCTCTGATTGACCTAGGTGACCTAGACCTAGTGAAGTCTGAATGGACTTCCCGAACTTGGAAACTTGGAGCATGTTGGGAAACGGATCTCCAAGTCACCAAGTGAAGTCTTTTACCAGAATCCACGTATGTGGTACCCAAGTCTTGCCATCATTCCGTGAACTTGCTGGACATGGCGCGCCATGAGTTGAAGGATGCCAAGAGATTCCACAACAGCCTGGGTGTCCTTCCAGGAATCTCTCAAAGACAGGAAGAAGACCACATCGACCGACTGCGACCGCTCCGACCGCTCCATCACATCGACCGACGAAGCCTTTTCGGATCTTTTCGGTGCTCAGGACACCGCGGGTTTGGTCGTTACAAGAGGGCGTGCAGGCGCTGGGGGTGTGTGACGTCGGAGTGGAGGGGAGACTGAGTCTGGACTTGGAAAATGGAGGAAAGATGAAGGATTGGGAGGAGATCCATCGGTTCAGGGTGGAATCTTCAACGATCCATACCAATCCATGTAAAGACTCGTTGTTTTAATGTTATTTTTACGTCACCATGGATGGGTCAATTGGATCATTTGCTTTTTTCTTTGCAACGCTTCCAGTCCCAAGGAGCGTGTTTGGGACATGCAATGAACGCCACGCCCGAACCTCACGCCCCGTGCAGACTCTGAAGACCAAGACCGCGAGTCCGAGTGGGGGTGCGAATGCGAAGGGTTTCGATTTCTACCCGGTGGAATTCGGATCTATTTCTATGTCTATCTATTTCTACCCGGTTTGGATCGTTTTGTTGATATGGTATCCCAGACGCGACCGATGTCTGTCATATATGCCGAGAAGATCAAGCCAGTCCCCGGCATGGCACCACCCGGGGCGGTTTTACTATGCCAGTCCCATGGTGTTGCACGGTGGGGAAAGGCTGGATGTGGACGTCGATGTTCATCGATGTTCTCTAATAGGAAAGAGTTGGTACACAACATTATATCAGTAGAGGACACATGGAAAGCTAAGCAGCGAGTATAGGAAGCTGACCAACAGGTGTGTAGGGGTTGATTCAAGGAAGTGGGTTTGAATTCCATCGCGCGTGACGACTTATTGAAACTGGATGAAGGACCTTTCTTGGAACTCGAAATGTATTAGGTCATATCATATTGGATCTAAATTTTAATCCAACTGTAGTCATATCAAATCTAAATCCCACTGTATTGTAGCCTGGTTTTGCTTAAGGGGATTTCTGGTTTTCCCTATGGGTGAATCCCCTGCTTGGGAATTTGTTCTTTAATTTTTCCCGGGTTCCTGAACAGCAAATCCAATTGTATACACTTGTTTGTCGAACTTTGTCCTGGAATCCTGAGATCTTTCCAATTGTATATAGTTTGGTTTGTCCTATTACCTGTAACAGTCAGTACACAATTATCACTACTTTTGAACAAGGCCTTTACTAACCATCTTCATCCACTGTTACAGGTATTAGAATAGACCCTATATAATTATAGTTGTTTCACAAGTTTCTTTGGGTCCACCACTCATGTTTTGGAAGTCCAGACCCCAATAGGGGATCCTTAATTTTGGGGATCCAGCACAATCCATCTCGGGTGCTTATAAAGAGCCCTCCAAAAAGCATGTATCGTCCATCCAAACACCACCCAGAAATGGGTGGTGCTAGACTGCTGGACACCTTTAAATTTACCTTCTTTAAAAGGATAGTGTCCTTTCATTTATTCCTTAGACCCTTTTAGAGATTACCCGGGGGTCACTCTTTAGAAACACCCCCTTCATAGGGCTCGCAGCTTTGGATTTCGCCCCAGGACACGGTGCATTTCTTCTCGCAAACCTTGATGAGACCAGTGGCCTACTCCTTCATCGAGGTGTCGGTGTGCACAAAAGGGGCGGTATTTGGTGCGTGTTTTGTGAGGTGATCGAATGAAGATGCCTCCCAGATAGGAAGACGTTGTCTAGAATCCACCTGACCTCTGTTTTGATAGGAACTCATAAAAGGACCATATTTTTTGGGTTGTTCGGTGGTCCCAAATAGAGTCGTCACTGATGTTCCATAGGTAGGTTTGGTATTGGTCCTCTTTGGGATAGAAGGCCCGCGATGCCCATCCGCCATTTCATCACGAAAGCGTCACTTCACAGGACCGAAAGTGGTCATCGTACCTTCAGCCCTTCCAGACCCTTCAAGACTTCGTGAGGGTTTGGTGGTTCACCCTCACAAGGGGTTTAGGTTCGGGCGAAAAAAAAGACTCCGGCCCCTTAAGAACTCCCCCAACTGCATCGAAAGAAACATGGTGAGATTCCGTGGTTTTTTTTGACCGGTCTTGCAAGGGTCATATATATATATATTATATAGGTCACATCGAAGGCTGGGGGTTGTCAATGGTTCTTTTCCAGATCGTTTCCAGGGACAACATGTTATTTATAACCTACAAAGTTGCAAACGAATCAGTCATAGACTCGTAGACTTAAACAAAGACGTATATGTTTTCCAACATCACAGACCTGCATTAGCTGCATAGCAAACTGCACAAGTCCGCATTGGGAGAGGTATCCAATCCCTTTGCCAAATCCATTGCCAGCTTCACTCCACTTTCCTTTGTATGGCCAGAAGTCTTCAAGTGTTGGTGTCAAAATAGCAGGTGTTCATGCACAACTTATATTTTCTGAGTCGAGGCACTTCTTATGTTTTCCTTGAGATGATAAACATTTGAACCATGTCCAATGAGCACTGTCCTTTTGAATTAGTGCCAATCACTCAGGTCCAACATGCCATCACCCCTCAAAACAAGACAAAACCTATCCTAAAACAACATCAACAACAACATCAACAACCCAAAATCCAGGATTTCAAGCATTTGACAAGGTCATCTATAAACCCATCTCAACAAAAAATCCTTCCAATCCTCCCCAATTTTCCTCCATCTTCCTCCATCTCTGAAAGCAACTCGTGGTCCCATCCAAACGCGCCAAACCGCTCGCAGACATGCAGCGAGTGGACCTCGACCGCCAGGACTTGGACCTCGCGGCTGAGGGCACCGCGGTGGTCTCGGCCAAGCGCTACGAGCTGGACGCGCAGGGCCTCGCGGCGGCGCGCCTGGCCTTCAACTGCGAGGCGGATCGCGTTCCGTCGCGTCGCGTTTTGGGATGGAGGAGGATGCAAGATGCTAAGAGCAAGATATTATGGTGTGGGTTTGTGTGTGTGTTCTTTTTTGATGGTGTGGGCATACCGTGGGAGGAGTTGGGGGAATAGCATGCTATGGGTGTCATGTGTTCATCCAGAGTTGGAAGGGGGTGATGACAAGGAAACGCAAGTTGTTCAGACAACATGTGACAGTTACGTGGCTCTATTCTTGTGTTTGTGCATGGTGAGAGTCACCCCACTGCTAGCAGCTAGCACATTGAGTTCATATCCGCAGAGGTATGTGAACAAACAGAGGAGATATTCTCAACCACTACCAACAACGTGAGCCAAGACCCAAGTAAGTATAGTTGGCCCATGATAGGGAATGCATCCCAGTTTCCAAAGAATCTGTTGGTCCAGTTGGTTGCTCGCGAGTTGTCTCACTGAAAGCATGCCGTCAAAAAAGTGGTCCAGTTGGTCACGACCTTTCTTTCAGGAACCAAGCGACCCCACCAGAATCAAATATAAGACTCATGCAGCCATGCATTTCTTCACTGCCCACTTTTCTATAGTATCTTGGCAAGATGTCTTTGGTCCCCCCTCCAAAAAAACAATAAACAAACGAGTGGTTTTTCTTTTCCTTCTTTCCTCCCTCAGGCCCTTGCACCTCCATCGCTTCCACCTCCCTCCAGGAGGTCTTCAAGGCCATGTCGGAGTCCGGCGTCTTGAACCGCGGCTCCGACTGCGACGAGCTCAACGGCATGTTCGACCTCTCCAGCGCCTACAACCAGATCCCCTACGTGCCCCGGTCGTCGCACGGGTCAAGTCCGGAGACCGTTGGATCGGTTCGAGGTCGGCCTGACCTAGACCAATTGGGACTGGACGGACTGAGCTGCAAAAAGACATGTAGTACATCTTATATAGATCTTATAGGGCGTATACTAGCTGTAAGTATTCCAGTCCAATGTGTTGCAAAATCATTGGGCATGTGGTTGAAATGACATGGGATATAACGATCTTCATCTTCATCGCGTTTTTGTGCGACCAAGTCTTATAGTATAAGCAGCACCCTTAGCACCCTTTGGGTGGTGCTGGAACGGCGACCACTGTGCCACCATCCGGTCTCCGTGGCTTCGGACGGTCACGGGCAGAGGGGGCGCTCCCTGGGCCGCTCCGGGTTTGCGCCGCTTCGGCCGCGACCACCCGCGTTTCGCCGGAGCTCGGAGACCACCAGCAGCGGCCCGGGACGTTGGTTTTCCGAGATGTCAATGCAATAGACTCATAGACAGTGGAGTCCAGTGGTTGCCTGTCGTCGCAAGTCTTAACAGACAGTTTGAAGTTCGGCACAGATTTCCTGGTGGAAAGACAGGCTGTGGTTACTTACTTACTATAAGGTCGGGTCGCGACCCCATGTGTACCACAGACCGGGGTTCCCAACGTTCAGGAAAGATGTGTCCTGTTTTTTGTTCCGGTTCCCTGAGCCAATCTCACTGCCCTTGGGACCAACCTGCGCGGCGGACGGACGGACGAGCTGAAGTTCAAGCGTTTGACGGCGCTTGGGCGATCCGGTCGCGTTCCTTTTAGTATAAGTCCCCTTCTGGGGACTGATAGTTCACTTTCTATCACTTTCTCAGTTCCTTAGTTCCTTAAGCAAATCCAAGGATTTCTGAAGCGGATTGCTGGGTATTGAGTGATGAGGCGCCGCAGAAAGGAACCTACCGTCACACTCCCTGAAAAAATATAAATCCACTCATTTCAGAGCTGGGGTATTTGTGTTGGCCACATCCAACTTGCACAGCTACTGCCCCAAACACCATGAACTGGTGGCACATGTGGCACAAAACAACATGTTGTTGTTCCAATGAATTCCAATGAAGCACTTTTATACAGTGGTTTTCAGAGTAGATGGCGCAAAGCCCCAATGTTCTTTAGATGCGGGGGTCCATATACACCATCGACATTGAGGTAACTTGTCCCAATTTGCTCTCCATCCACTATATATCTATCTGGCCGCCATTCAAAAAAATCCCGCCAATCATCCGCTTCAACCATCCCAGCGGCCCACCATCCCCTGTCAACCGATTCGTTTTGGTTGTTCCACCGATTCCAGGTGTGGTCGCTGCCGTCGCTCGGAGGAGATGAAAGAGAGAGAGAGAGGAGAGGGGAGAGAGGAGAGGGGAGAGAGGAGAGAGGGGTGTCAACAATGTCCAGCTTCATCCAGTGCCCAAGCTTTTCCAGTGCCTTTTTCGCGACCTCAAACCCCGGGGATCGTTCGTTTGGGTTACGAACGGTCAAGCAGAAGGAAGCGTTGAACTCTCCAGCCCCTCACCGATGCAATGAGTACACTCTGACTTCTCCATCCCTGGAAGTGGAGAGCTTCTCAGACTGATTGTTTTGACTTTCGGACTTTCAGAGGTCAGTGACAGCAGGCACATCCTTTCAAAGTTTTGAAGGAACCTCTCATGGCATCCTTTCAGCATGGGCGTCACATTCCACTCGTTCCCTGCGTTCGTTGACATCCGACTCCGACCGCCGGGCACGGTCTCTCGCACGCCGCCGACATGCTGCAGTCGTCCGTTGGTCCGTCGTCCGAGCAGTTGGTCTGTCCTGTTGAGATCTGCACGGAGACGAGCAGTTGGTCCCTGTAAGTACTAGAAGGTCCCGCCACCAGGCATTGCAACTTAGACCCTCAAGAGTTGTTTCTCGTTTTTTTTTTAGCGCGTGTGTAAAAGGGTTGTGGGTCAGAAAAAAGGAATCCGATTCAACAGCCGCGCAGAATAAACTTGGACTTGTACTTCATATAGGGCGTTTCTTAATCAAGAGTCACGAAACACCAGAGCCGCCAGCTTTGTGAGTTGGTTTTTGACCCGAGGCATTTCTACCTCGTAGAGGCGCCAGATTCCACGCAGCACCCTCGCAACTGGATGTAGCAAACGGGTCCCGGTGTCCTCCCGCTGTCCGCTGTAGCATGGAGTGTCCCAGTTTGGAACATATCAACGAATTTGAGGGATGTGCCAAGTATTTCATGGGGCTCAATTTGAGAAGGAGATCCCTCCTGAAACCAAGAGTGCAAGAAGAACCTACCTCACTGCAACTCAAGATTTCATCAGTTTTCTAGCAAACTGTGTGTTTTACCACATGACAATGGTGATAGGATGTGATAGGTTTTGTGACGATCCAGACACCACGTGCGGTCAAAAGGGTATATAGCTCTCGTTTGACCTTCGGACTGGTCACTCTCGAAAGAGATCTTGAAAACATTTGCCAGCACACCCGTTTGTCAGTCTCCGATGGTCAAACTAGAGGAGGAAGGCCATTCCAACGTCGCATACCTTTTGAGAGCCACGCGCAGGTAAAATCTAGAGGAGGAAGGAGCCATGCAAACATGGCATACGTTATGTGAGCTATGCGAGAGTGATTTTTTAAGAAAAGGCCATGCAAGCGTAGAATACTTTTGTGAGCTACCCGACGTTGATTCAGAGGAAGAAGGACCGATGGCGGTAAATCTAGAGGAGGAAGGAGCCCTTCCAACGTAGCATACCTTTGTGACCCACCTGTGCGCAAAAGTATTGGACGAGGAAGGATCAATTCCAACATAGCACACCTTTTGTGAGCAATCCGATGGAAAAATTGAGGAGGAAGGAGCCATACCAACTTCTCATACCTTTTGTGACCCGCCCGAGGGTAAATCTTGGGGAGGAATGTTCCAGTCCAACGTATGCGTGAGCCACCCGATGGCTGCTGCTGCTGCTGCTGATGATGATGATGATGATGATGATCATGATCATGATCATGATGATGATGATAAACTTATGTTGGTCGCAATGTTGATGTTCATGCTTTGGTCCTGCACCTCGCTGATGACTGCATCGTGGATGGTGCCTGTGGCATGCTTGCAGATTTTTTTGGGGTGCTACCCTGCTGTTGCATCTCCTGCTGTTCAACCTGACTGCGAGTTTCTGCTTATTGGGCCAGGCAAGTGTACTGGTGGACTGTTTAGGTGGTAGCCTTGGCCTTATGGCCCTGAAGGCTCATAAAGCCTGAGCACCCTCCCCGTTCCAAGTTAAGACAGCTGTGATGCATTTTGTGTTGTCCCATCAACATGTTGACCCCATACATCATATAACTAACATTAAATAACATATATATATATAGTAGAGTCACTTTCAGACACCTACCTCCAACAAACCCAGGATCACTTCAAAATTACTGGGTCATTGGTCTCGGACGCACGCAGATCGCCTTCGCCTCGCCTTCGCTTCCTTTTCCAAGGCAACAACTTGATCGGCTTCGTGACCCCCACGGGGCCCCGCTATCGGAACATGGCGGTGCCCGGGCGTCGGTGGAGTGTCGGTCGTGACCGTGGACCGTGGACCGTCAGGTCGAGACTCGGACGGGATCGTCACTGGATGAGACTGAGGACGGGTCACCAATGGCTCAGGTTTTTGGGGGGTTCCATGGATGATGGATCATCGGTCGGTTTCTTCGCTCCAGACATGGATCAGTGAAACGGATCTGAAGGGACAGGGGGCCTCGTGCTTGTGACCTTCAGCGCATTCAGCATGACCCTCCGGGTCTCACCACACTGGTCCGGCGCTTCGGGTTCGGCGAGGTGATTGAGCCACATTCCGGACGCGTTTTGGAGCAAATGTTCAAGGAACAGAGCCCTGGCAGCGTTTTTGGGACGTTTTTGACAAAAGGTGATGTTGGGTAGGGGTGATGTGTTTAAAACGAGGTTGTGTGGGTTGATTCGCGTTTCGGATATTGTGTTTCGTCAAAATGATGTTTGACTGGTTGATTCATGTGGTGTAACTTGACCTCATCCACAAGTTGGGGTGATGAATCCGTGCTAGGTGGACATGTAACTGTTTCAACATCTTTTTTGCAAGCCTGTCCCTAGGGCTCCAACTACCTCCTGAGAAGATGGTTATGGTGGGTTTGGGGGGTCTAACCACCTTCTGAGGATATGGTGGGAGCCCTAGGGTGTAGTTTTGTTGGAACACGGACTAGTTTTTTTAATGGAAATCCTGCCACGTATGGTGACAAATCACAGGTCTGGAGTCTCAACGTACCTCGGAAAATGAGGCCCCAAGTACCTGTTTATGATTGGGTCACCTCCCGTTTTTCAAGGTGCTTGAAGTTGGTTCCAAGTATTGGAGGAATCACACCTGGCATATGCACCTTTGGATCCTGTTGAATCCCAAGAAACTCACTTGGATCCTGTTATAGACCACGGTGTGTTTTGTGGACTGGTCACCAGTGAAGACCTGTGCTTGAAAATATGACCCGAACTCACGCTCCATGTACCAGGACCTTCCGTTCGTGGTGTCTAAGAGGCTATAGCCTCTTAGAGGTGATTCGGGGTGTCCAAAAACCACCTGTTGGAAGGTTCTGGTGCGATCTGGTATGTAATATTAGTTGGTCGGTCAGCATGCCAGTTCCAGTTCCGGTGTTTTACGAGGTCCCTTGATCGTGTCAGAGCTCGGCCGGAGTCACCTCCGTCAATATAAACGTTCACATGTCTATATCACAGGGTCACATTAAAAAGGTATATTCCACCCATTTCCACCCCCTCCCTTTGAAGAGCTAGACTGAGTGATGTTCCTTGACCCTCCGGTTTGCACCTTGGAACATGGGACTTGAAGGACCTTTCGTCGTCCACATGTTCGGTATTTCGAAACTCCTCGACCCACGACCCTCGACCGAACGACGGTCCACGGCAGTTCTGAGGATCTCCGTGCGACTCTACAAGGACCTCGGTGGTGCGGCGGCACGGAAGGGAAGCGGCACGGCGGGAGCCGCGGTCGCGGTAGCTTCTCGGGTGGTTCCCAACGCTGGAAGACCTCGCGCCCAAGGTCTGGTGAATTGGAGGGTCCAGTTTGTGTCAAGCCAGATGGGGGGTGGGCTTTACAGCGGGTGGGGTGGTAGTTTTGTGGGGCTTAGTGGTTTTTGGGTTTCAATTCGGTGAAGCCCCTGGCATGCGGAAGATGATTCTTTTCTCCGCTGAACCAGCAACAGGATGGAGGGTCTTGGGTGCGAAACCACTCCCCAAAGGCCCTTTTGGTGACACTGAGAGACTAAGGGTTCCTCGCAGTGTTTGCATGAGAAGAGTTTGTCTATAGGAAGTGCAGAAGCTGATGCCAATGATGCAGAAGCTCTTGATCTGCATATTCTGCTTCTTCGAAAAAAGACAAAAGACACCATTCCTGGTTTCTGGGGATTTGGATCCTACGAGTCCAGCTTCCGTGGTTTTTGGGACATGTGTACACAGCAAGATCCGATCAAGACCCGATCTTTGACCAAACAACGTCGGCTCGGCTCCGGTGGAGGGCGCCCTTTTCGCTCGCCCTGAGCAGCGGAGCTTGCTTTCGATCGTTGCAGCGGGTCAGGACGACCGAAACTACTTCTTCACCAAGCAAAAGAGTGTGGCCATTCCCCTCTACTGGCGCATGAACACGAAGAATGCCACGCAAGCGGAACGGCAGCTGTGAACTGGCCTGCTGTGCGTTCGAACGGGCCGGTCGATCGGCTCTTCGCTTGGTTCTAGCTGGCTGGCTGCGGACCGGATTGTTTACGGGAGTTAAACAACTAGGATCGATGGAAAAGGATCAGAAGTGACTGTCTTTGTTGGTCAAGCCCTGGGTGGCCATTTTTTCTCCACCTGCCAGGTGAGTGTCTGACCAGATTTGCCTGCGGCGCAAAACCAGGATGCCATGGTTGACCTACTTGGAAGGTCGAGTTGCCTGGTGTTTGGGCTCCAGGTTTTGACCTATCCCCATTACAAAGGTGCCTTCGCATATCAACCCACCGCAAGGTCCACTGATGTTAATTCTTTGGAGCCCAGGTCGTTCCCCAAAGCCCAAGGAGATTCCGGCGCCATCAATCAGAGCACCGGTTCACTCCCAATGGTCTGGTGATTTCATCAGGGCCCTGGTAGTTCGTTACAGTTGCAGAAGAAGGCGAGATGAAGCGTGCGAACCGGTCGGAGGTCGGAGGTAGTCCCTGCCCCGCTGAGGCATTGAGCCACGTATTTATACAGTACGTGCTTTCAGAGTAGATGGATGTAAGTGGCACTGGCGCCCGGAGATGGTTTTTAGAAGATAATATATAGCCAATGGGTGATTGTGCCATCTACTCTGAAAACACTGTATAGGTTCTGTAGAACCCCCCGATGATGCGGCCAGTCCTGCTTTATTAGCGTTCAAAGTGACAGGACGTTCGTCAATATTTAGGAATCCTTGGTCATCCTGTCGTAGATACTGTAGAATATTCTGGGGCAAATCAAACAAACCATGTTGGAAACCATGGGATTCGAGACAAACCATGTTGGAAACCATGTTGTAGATAGAATATTCCGTTGGAAACTGGTCATCGACCTGTTTTGGTTTGCCTCCTGAACTATTTACTCCGCTTTGTACAAGACCGGCATTTCACCCGAATCCGAGCTGAAGTGATGCCATGGCTAAGGTTGAGTGAGATGCAAAGCACCTTCCGAGGACTGGAAGCTGGCTTCATCGCCTTTTGGCTTCACCGCTTTGGGATGTGCATCGATGTTGGTCGTCCAAAACCCTTGCGAAAAAGCGGATAGCTGGTAATATACTGTAATGAATTGGGATGTGAGTCGGCTGGTGAATTGCTCAATTCAGGATGTCATTATGTCATACTTCACATTGCCGGGTGTCACCACATGTTGTGGCATTGCTCCTCAATATTGAACCTGAGAAAACCCACAATATGTGGTTTGATAGTGTTCCCAAAAACATAAGAACAATACTTTGGGCCTGTCCTCTTATCTGCAACAGTCGGTAAACAATTTTCACAACTTTTGACAAAGGCCTCTACTCATCCTCATCCTCCTCCTCCTCATCATCATCATCATCATCGTCATCATCATCCACCGTTACTGGTAATGAGATAGACCCAAGATGATCCAAGCAAGACTTCTTTACAGGGGATGTACTTGTCACATTTGTCTACGATTTTGGAGTCACCTGCCAAACATACCTCCAGAACCCTGGGTCTGGAAAGGAAACCAAACTCGGTTAACTTAATGAACCATTGCATTGGTCAATCTTCTCGGTTCAAAGATGAGATCATTTGGGATAGCTCTTTCAGCTGTGAACAACGGCTGGAATACGTAGCCAGTGTCCTGAACTAGGACCCGCCACCAGGGGTACCCAACTAGGATCGTCGAACAGTACCCACCTCTGCTGGGTGGAGGCCCCAAGTGACTGTGTTGCGTGGCCCAAGTGGATCCGGTTCTGAGGCCTGTATGATCTTGGGTGGTGTGAGCTTGCTCGCAGCGCTCTTCGTGGGGATGTTGCTCTATCGTGACAACTCGCAACTCAGATGAATGAACAAGAACTTTGGCTCTTCGAGGGGGTGGTAGAACCTTTTGCTTGGTGGCTTTTTTGGTGCCGTATTGATGGGTTGGTGGTTGGTGTTTTGCTCCTTTGGTCGGCAGACATGGGTTCCAGGTTGACGAGACACTGCACAGAGTCTGTTGCCACATTGAGTGACAAAAGACCTCTCCTGTTCCACCGGCTTCAGACTTAGACCATCCTGGTTTTCTCCCACTAGAGGTTAGACTTGGTGCTGTTAGGCACTCAGAGACCGAAGACAAATCCATAGTTCCCAGCCATGAGCTTTTCCATCCCTTTTCCAACTAAGTCACCATGCAGAGTCAAAGGAATTGTATTTGCTCTTCTCTCTCAAGACCCATTTTCCAAGATTGGCCAACCATCCCATGAGATTTCTGAAGCACCTTGCACTTCCTCGCAGATCCCAAGGAAATGGCACCCAACATCCTCCAACACGGCAAACTTATTGGACTTCTCCCACGCCGAACCCCCCCATTCCTTATGCCGATCAGTTGAATCAGTTGGGGTGATCTTTCAGATGAGGGTCAATATACCTGGTTTTGCTTATAGCTGATGTTGATTCTCTATATATATATAGATATATGAGTGAATCCCCTGGCAAGGCGAAGATATTTTTATATTTCCAGTTGCTGGGAGCCGCAAATCCAAGATGAACTCCGTCCAAAATCTTAAGACATGTTTGGACCTTTGGTTTACTGAAGTAGGTCAAGACTCCACTGGAGACTTCGTTTCCCCGAGGCTTCAGACGGTGCAAGAGAAGCGGAAGCGAATCCAAGCGGAATTGGCGGCTGCGATTCCACCGGACACACGTCACTCGACCGAATCAAAAACACAGTGCGATGATTCGAGCTCGTTACGCGGCGCGTGGGTGCTTTTGATAGTGGTGGAGGGGTTGTTCGGTCAGACTTATGGTCCATGAAACCAGCCAAAAGGCAAAAGCATTTGCATATGGTGGGAAGATCTATAGGTATGACTGAGGGTCTTCAAAGACCGTAAAACACAACGGTTGGGGCGGAGATCGAAGGCTGTGCGCCATGTGGGACATGTTCTTCGGAGCCAACAAGACCATCTATATAGGCTATAGGGCCTCATGGGGTGAAATCTCTTAGCGGTCAAGGTCAAGGGGAGTGCGGTCAAGGGGGGTCATTGGTCCATCCCCACGTGCGAAAGCACAACATGAGTTCAGGGTGTAGAGTGTAGACCCATGAAGTCTACACATGTCTACACTCCCTGAAATCATTTTATGGTTTCGCACCGTGGGGATGGACAAATATGCCCAAACTCAAACGACTTGGACTGGCTGAGTTCTCCCAGTCGACCAGTTCCAGAAGACGAAACCATTGAACTGTCCACCCCGACGTGGTCGCCTGGACCCTGTGAGACCGAGCGAGGACCAAGGGTTTGGAGGAATCCCCCTGCATGCCGCCCTCCACAGGGTGACCCTTATATTCGGAATACCCTTGAAGATCCTTGAAGCAGTTGGAGAGGAAGGTGACCCCCGGTGTTTTGGGTCTGAACCGACTTTCCGTGTGGCACCGCTCGGTGTGTTTTGGATCCCAAAAACTTCCCACTGAGGTGAAGACCGCGACGAGGATGAAGCGGACGAACGCGCAGACTTGATGTGAGTGTGGCACCACCGGTGCCTCTCTCATCGCCGTGTGTGATGCAACACCGTGGCGTTGCAGGTTCACAGCAGGTTCACCGCAACGTGGTGCCCTAATGGCTGAGATGGTATGTTAATGTGTAGTAGTAATAGGGTGGGAAACACTGGAAATAAGATAACTAAGCCCAGGTCAGGAACTGACCTCAGTTGATTGGAGGTTGGTCATACAACAGCAGCACTATATTATATTACTTATAACATCTTATAACGAGGTAATTCCCAAGTTTGGACCCGGGTCAGACCTCGACCCGGATTTTGACCTCCGGAACCAGTGACCAAAGTGCTCGCAGTGCACAGCTTTTATTGTGTCCACAGCGCAGAATGGGAAAACACCCATCCGCCTTCTACTGAGGAAACAGGAAGTTCGTGGATCACTTGCAGGGTTCACCTTTTTGGGGGGTTTTCGGGGTTCTTCACTCAGTTCGGAGGTGGAGCTCGTTCAGTGAAGCTGAATTTGGGGTCCCGGCCACAGGGCAAATGGAGAGGACATATTCCACACAGGTCAGGGATTGCAACGCCAATGCGTGTGACCGTCACCATCTGAAGGTGCAGGTGCGGATGAACAACCATCCGAAGGTCGTGAGAGTCGGCTCCAAAGTGAGAGCATCCTTCAAGGGATTGGCCTCTCACATAGCCCCCAGCGACGAGCACATGTGTTGTTCCCGTCGCTGCGCAAAAAAGGAAGAGAGTCCAAGTGTGCTAGGCTTCCGGGTGCGGGAATCGTTTGATGGCTTTGTTTTGTCATAGCATTTGATGATTCAGAACAAACGCTGTTGTCTATGGAAGGTCATGTTTGTCTTTGAATGGATTTGTTTGCAAGGTCATGTTCAGGTTCCATTTAGGTGAAGTGCTTCATCTCCGTATTGTTTTTGCGTGGGACTGTACTGCCTACTCGTTTAGAGTGAATCACCATATTTTTGAATTCCATAAGTTGTTGATCATGCTGGACTGCCAGACCTTCCAAATATGAGTTAATTCGACGGACGATCAGCATCTCACACAAGAAGCACCATTTGGAGAGCAAGACATGTTACCTTGTTCCCACCCTGAACAGTTTGAAGAGTTCCCGGCTCAGCCGAACGGGACAGCAGCCGGCTCCAGCACTGGATCTGTATGGTTCAATGGATGGGCTAGAGGGCTACCAAGTAGTGAAGTAGTCCAGCAAATTGGACTAGTGAGGTGCCGAACATGAAGGCTACCTGAAAAGCTGGTTCTGACAAGCTACGGATACCGAACTGTTTTGAACGGGCGGGCCCATCCAAGTAGCTGCCAAGCTCGGATCGCCTGGTAGGACATATAGCAGCATAGCAAACTCAGCCTGTGTTTTGCATCACAGACCGATTCCAGTACTGAACTCGCTGAACTAGGTTGGCCAAATGAAGAAACCAGTGACAAATCCTCCATCTTTTCTCATTGCACAGAAACAAGACACCTAAGATCTCGGGGGTGGGGTTGGTCAATAGAGGCCTCTTTTGGATCCTCTGAGATCCTTTTCATGCGTCTATGAGACTGTCTAACCCAACCCTTATTGTACTTCCAAACCCATTCTCCCAAGAGAGGTCAAGTGACCTTAACTATAGGACCCCCTCACCTTACATAGGTACCCAACTGCCATACTCGAACTAAGTTACTAGGATTCATTCTTCAACCTCTGGTTTCCTAACTCCTGCTCACGTGATGTGAAATCCTCCCAAATCCTCCTCCTGCTCCCCCCCTCCAAACCCCCGCTCAGGTGAGGTGATGTGCTCGCCCCCCTTTGCGGGTCCGTCGACCAACGCCACGTGTCCCCGTGACAACGTGGAGCAGCGGAACGCCACGCTGCAGCCGCCCGGCGGAGAGCGGACGGAGAGCAGCGCGACGGACCGTGCAACGGAGGGGGGTTTTCCTGTGAAGAGGAACCTTTTCCGAAACCTCCTCCGGACACTCCGGAAAATCTTCCGGAAAACCTCCGGGCTCCGCAAGCAAGGACACAAGGACACAACTCAGATCCCTCAAAAAACCTCCGAAAAGACATCCGAATCTCGTCCGGACCCCCAAAAAGGCAATCAGAACCCAAACTCTGATCTTCACAACTTACAAAAAAAGTTCGACTCAGCCTCCGAAACAATAATGTGTATCTTCTTAAACGTGGTACGTCTCAAGATTTGTTTTGTCATTTCCATGCATCCGGAAAGTGGTGAAATCCCTGACTGACCTTGAATCAATTCAATGCGAACGACTGAACGAGGGTTCCTAAACTTTTTAAGTGAGAGAGTTTTTCAACTAAATTGTGTTTCAACGTCATCCTGATCGAATCTCATCGTCACCAGTCACCATTGCCAAAGCAGCTCACTGAAGCTCATCCAGGTTACCGACTTGCGTGCTACAGTGCTGCTCGTCAGGGACATTATAAGAGTGGAAAGAGATGGAAAGAAGGCCGTGGTTGGGGAAGTTGATTGGATAGACTTTGACGGGTTGGGAGCTATAGCAGCTGCCTTAGTAGCTGTAGCAAGCGCCAAGAGCTCGGGGTCCAGCTGGTAGAGACCAAGCTACTTATGATTCGAAAATTAACATCGCAAGGGGATCGGTTTTGACTTGGATTCTAGAACGCTTAGCGAGGGAAATCATTCAGAAGTTAAGACTGTGTGGGATAGGTGCAGGTCCCGCTGGGAGTCAGAGATTGAAAGCAGAACCCATAATGGATCCAGACAAACCACTATAGATCGGACGTGGCGCGTGTGACACTTCAAATCCTTGCACCTCCAGGTATTGCCAGGGCATCCAGGGTATTCCAGGTATGTGGAATTCCAGTCAGGGTATTAGCAGGGTATTCAGGGTAACACCAAGTTATCCGGGGTATTGCCTGTAACCAGTCAGTGGAATTTCTGGAATGCACTGGGATTACCTTGACACGGTGCGCGCGCGCGGTCCTTTTGGATCAACGCTTTTTCTGAACTCGCTCAGCAGGCCAGCGAAGAAGCGCCGTTTTGACACGGCTCCGAAGCTGTAGGAACGTTCTTCCCAACAGACCAGAAGTATCACGGAAGTAGACTTCACCACCTGTTTGGTCTTCGGAGTCATCTCATGGTCATCCTAAAAACTCTGGGCTATTTTCCCATCCACTTCAATGTCTTTTTAGGGAGTGTACCTCTTTTATCAGGCCCAATCAGCCCAACGACTCCGAGTGGTAAGGCACAGCACCGGAGCCACTGCCCAAGGGCTACGCGGCGGCGCCCGAGGGCGGCTGGCGCTGCGCCGAAGGCTTCATCGGTGCCTCGGGGGCCATCGGGACGGACGTAAACTCAGTGGAAGGGCAGCTCGTAGGGTTGAAAGGGATCACTGAAGACTCTTGATGAATAAAATCAGATGAAAGAGGTTTTACCATCCAATTTTTGGTGGTTTTATTAATTAAGAGTCTACATTGTGAAGTTTATATTAATATGAATTCAAGTGCTGCATGGGCCAGGTGCCCGCATATACATTTGTTGAAACTTCTGGGCACTGATGGGCAGGACGACCCAGGGGATCACTCACGGGACATCCTGTGACAAACGGGTGATTTGTTCTCGAAGTTGTTACCTATTGATTACCCAGACACTCCATGTACGGCATATATACCTACATTGGGGTGGTGCCAGAGGGGTCAATGTAGGCACAAATGAGAACATTGATCATTTTTTTGAGAAAGGGGTGGAACGGGGGAACCTAACCATCATCATCCACTGGGTCATGGTACTTGTAATGGGATATACCCAATGCATGGTACTTGATCCTGGAAGCACTGGACACCTTGACTCTGGGTGGAGCGCATGGCACCTGGAGCCCGACCAGCCCACGATGTTGCTTGACCAAGTGACGTCGGTAAGTCCACCTTAAGGTATGCTGGAGCCATGACCCATAGCCATTTGCCATTAGCTTCGCTCAATCTAAGTGATTGGGTTTTTTTGAGTTCAGAGAGCTTGAAAGTAGCCACTGGACAAGCAAGACATCTCCATCTCCATGGCTTATCGACGATCAATGTTTGAGGCATGGTCATATGTTACCATCATATACTGAATTTATTGATGACAATTCCAACTCAATTGGAATTTGATCATATTTTCCGGTGAATGAGTATGGGTTGCATTGGGTTGCTTGGGACGTTTTACACGTGTAATTTCTTCAAATAAGAATCAATGGCAGGACTCAACAAAAGCACCCAGGACATTCGCGCTAGCAGGCAGCAGGACATCCTTTGGGTCCAAGACGAGAGGATTCTGATTAGTTCAGCGTTTCAGAGGTTCGATGGCACAATGTCGGTGGTGTTGGACCCGTTAAGAGGCCAGACAACACACCCAACATTGGGTTTGTTCCATCTACGCTTGTCAACCACGATATCACTATATTCTAACCCAGACACTCCATATATGCCTACATTGGGGTGGTTTGAGGGGTCAATGTAGGCATATATGGCATACATGGAGTATATGGGTAATTCGGTTGCTGATGTGGGTGAGCTGAAGTGAGAGATGCAACAAAAAGATAAGCTCCGCTTCTTTCAGATCGAAGTGCTACATCATTCTTTCACATCATCAGTATACCTAGAACCTGAGCTCGACCTCTATTTTGGACCAGAAAAACCACCCCAAATATGGCCTTTTCCTATCAAAACAGACATATGGGTTCTATAGGTACTTATAGGTCCCAGAAGCTTCGCATTTCGCACCTTGGTCAGACATGCAAGTCCACGATAGTCCGTCCAAAGACCGCGTCTCGCCACGCGTCTTCTTGGCTTGATCAAGTCATATCAGCAGCGACCTGTGACCATTTGTGACCTGTCAACGAAGCCTATATGACCTCTCCCGCCTCCAACCTGATCTATAGGACACGATGCTGGAGGATTCTGCAGAGCGATTCATTATATGGAAAGAGGTGTTTCTTAAGGTTCGATCTTTTTTCAAGATGCATCAATGATAGCCCTGAAGAAGCTGCAACCATGAAATT